CACTATGCTTTGTTCTACCAATATTCAGCAGCGCTATGCGAATCACCTTCCATATATCAGCATGCGACGCTTATTTCAACCTGAAATGTCTGCTTGTTGTTTGCAGCCCTTTTGGAAGGCTTAGCTTGGCGACGACCAGCTCTACCAACATGTGATGCCAGTCTCTCGGAGTTGGTGATGTGTACCTCTGAATTTGTTTCTCTTGCAGGAGGTTGAGGGGAGGACAACCGGATATCTTCAAGGTGACCACCAAACCCACGACCCCTTACAGCGGTCAGAAGCCTGGAACCTCGGGTGTGTTGAAAGTAGAGCTCTGCACAGCATGTATTTATCTTCTCTCCAGGACTTCGTAAGAAGACTCGTGACTTCATGCAGAAGGATTATCTTGCCAACTTCGTACAGGTATCCCTCTACCTCCCTCCCCTTCCTGACCTCCTCCTCCTCCTCTTCATTCCTACCCTCAACCTCTCTGCCACCTGTTTTGTCCTCCTCCACCTCGTACTTACTGCTTCCCCTCCCTCCTCTCCTGCTCCTCTTGAAGCTGCCTTTCTCTTCCATCGCTGACGAGATTTTCTCCCTTGACAGTCGAGCCCGCTGCTGCCAGTCTCGTTCAAGTCTCTGTAGATGCGATCTGCGATGGAGGAGGATCGAGTTGTTCTTGGAAGGTCTCCTCCTCCTCCTCCTCTCCCTCTCCCTCCCAACGCAGTTCCTCTGCTGTCGAACCCGCGAGACTGAATTGGCGGAGGAGAATTCCTCCTCCATCAAGTCCATCTTTGACAACAAATCCGCTGCCGACAACCTCTCCTGTACCTACAACGACGACGACGACGACGACGACGACGACGACGATAGCAGCAGCAACAATAATAACGAGCATGGATGCGACGACTGCGGCGCAGATTTTGTCCAGCACTCCTCCCCCGCAAGGCTCTGGAGCCCTGAAGCAGCAGGAAGGAGAGAGCTCTGTCTTGTTCACAGTCTCCTTCCCGCCCTCCCTCGATCCCTTCATCAGAGAGTTTGTTGTCTCCTCACAATTCGTCGATCAGTTCAAGACAAGGTACCAACAGCACTCTCTCCTTCCTTCCCTTATCCTCCTCCTCCTCCTCCTCCTCCTCTCTCCTCTCTCCTCTCTCCTCTCTCCACTCTCCCTATTTTCCACTCCATTTCCCTCTCCCCCTTCCAAAAGGACCTGTCGGAGCTCAAGAAACCCTTTGCTGCCGCTCCTCAGATCGTCAAGATCAGCCTGCCTCCTGCTCCTCCTGCTCCCTCTGCTCTCTCTTCCTCCTCTGCTCCTCCTTCCTCCTTAGCTCAGTCTTCTCGCACCCCCTCGTTCCTTCCTCCTCCTCCCTCCGCCTCTTCTCCCTCTGCCTCTCCTCTTCCCCTCTCCTCATCGATCTTACCAGCTCCTCGTTCTGCCATCTCCTCGCCTCCTCCAACCTCTGTCAGCCTTGCCACTCCCATCGCTCCTCCTGCCTCGAAACTTATCCCCCCACCCCCTCCCTCTTCTCTTCCTCCCCCTTCCTCCTCGTCACTCCCTCCTCCTCCCTCCTCTTCCATCACTGCTCCACCTGCCATCGCTCCTCCTCGCTCTCCCTTGCGCATTCAGATCCCTGTGAGTATGCTCCTCTTCCTCCTCCTCCTCCGGCTGACCTCGTGCGGACAGGCGATCCCAAAGCCAGGACAGCGCGGAGGAGCAGCGAAAGTCCCTCACAAGGAGACAGCAGGAGGGAGGGAGGCAGCTGAACAACAAGCGCATTCGACACATCAAGTTGCCCCACCTGCTCCATTGCCACAGCAACGAGCAGGAGCAGGAGCAGGAGCAGGAGCAGGAGCAGGAGCAGGAGCAGGAGCAGGAGCAGGAGCAGGAGCAGGAGCAGGAGCAGGAGCAAGGAGCAAGGGAGCAGGAGGAACGATACCAAAGGTAAGTCGTTCATCATTCAGTTTGTTCTCTCATTGCGACTTTTGTCTTCTCAGCTCGCCCCATTCAGCTCGGCACTGCGAGCAGGAGCTGAGAAGCTCTCTGCCCCCGAGGTGGCGGCGAAGCCGGACGAGAACTGGGGGCGGACGCAGGGAGCGGTTTTCTCCTCCTCCTCTTCTCCTGCTCTTCCCCCTCCTCCTGCTCGGGCTGGCGGGTTTGACATCAAGATCGGAATCCCTGTGAGGGGCAAGGGGCCAGCGCCAAGAGCTCAGGTGAAGGTGCTTGAACATGCTGCTGGTTCTGAAGCGTGCGACAAGATGGAGCGCAGGGCAGTGGAGGGTCAAAGGAAGCAGCACAATCAAGGGCAGGAAGAGATCAAGTTCGACTCTCCTCCTCCTCCTCCTCCGTCCAGCGCGCAAGTACTTGCGGCGACGACCCGCTCAGCAGGGCTGCTCGTGCATCCGTATGAGCAACAGGGTGCAATGAGGGAGGAAGCGAAGGAAAGAGGGATGGAGACAACATACCATCAGCAGCAGCAGCAGCAGCAGCAGCAGCAGCAGCAGCAGCAGCAGCAGCAGCAGCAGCAGCAGCAGCAGCAGCAGCAGCAGCAGCAGCAGCAGCAGCATTTGGGAGCGGGGATCTTCACCATGTCGCCGATCCTGCGGGAGGAGGAAGCCTCTCCGGACATCTCCGACCCTCTCACCTCCATCGTCGCCTCTCCTGCCATTGCTTCTCTTGTCCTCAACCCCTTCTCCGAAGATTTCTCCCCCTCCTCCTTCCCTCCCCCTCCTCTCCGACGCCCCGAGCTCACTCCCGCCCTGCGCATCCCCGCCCATGGCGCCCGCGGCTCAGCTGCTCCCCAGCTCGCCCTCGCCCCTCCTCCTCCTCGGGCTCCTGCAGCTGCTGCGCCTTCACGAGGTCGGTCACCCCCGTTGGTGCTCTTGCTTACCTTCAGCTCAGTCGCTCTGAACGAGGACGCAACCAGCTCGCAGCAGGTGCCGACGAGTACCCAGCTGACTCCCAGCAGACCTGCTACCTCATCGCCCACATCTCCCACCTCCTCGTTTGGCACTCTCAAGATCCAGGTCTCCTCTATGCTTCCTCCTCGCGTGCCCTCTCCTCCTCCTCCTCCTTCTCTTCCTCTTCATCTTACCCTCTTCCTTCCTCCTTCCATCCCTCCTCTCTTAGTCTTGCTGAGGGTCCACCAGGCGATGTCGTCCAAGGGGAGGGGGAGGTCGGTCCCTCCGAGCCGAGACAGGAGGAGCGTTCTAGGTGGTATCACCTCACCAAGAGCCCAGCTGGAGAGGACACCGGTAGTCAGCCCCCCAGCAGTGGCTGGACCAACTTTCCAAGCTCCTACTCCAGCTGAACGACAGGTCATCCTCCCCTCTGCCACGTCATCTCTGAATCTCCTCAGGCTCCTCAGCGCGACTCGTCCGCCTCCCCTGCCGCGAGCCCGAAGGCGCCCGTCTCCTCCTCTCTGCGAGCCAGCGAGGGAGACGAGGGAGGATGGAGGCTACTATTGCGACAGGCACAGGTGAGACGGGGAGGTGTCAAGCAGGAGGATGTGGAAGACGAGGAGGACGAGGAGATGGTGGTGGAGGACGAGGACGAGGAGATGGTGGTGGAGGACGAGGACGAGGACGAGGACGAGGACGAGGTGGTGGTGGTTTTCAGGCTGATAGATCTGCAGGTTTGGAACACAAGCACTCTCTGCTGCCTCGTCGACATCTCCTCCTCCTCCTCCCTCCTCTCCGTCCTTACCTACCTCACAGGGTCCATCCTCCTCTTCCTTCATTCCGCCCGGCAGACAGGTGAGCTAAAGGCGAGCTGGGAAGGTTTGACAAGGGTTGTCAGGGGTCCTCCTCGCTCAGGATACAGCTGGCAAATCAGCTGCATGGTCAGAGGCCCATGAGGCTACAGCTGAGGTGAGAGGTGGAGGGTCAGCTGGGGAGTTGATGGGCCTTGCAGGATCGAGTACAAGGAGCAAGGGAGAGGAAAGAGCATGACGGTGGTGGTTCCATTCGACAAGTTCAAGATTTGAGGAGAAAAGAATGCGAAAGATGTGAATATGTAAATGAGTGTAAAGACCAAAGGTTCACATGAGGAATCGATGATGTTTGTTGTCAGTTGTACTCGTCCAACGCTCTCATTAGCTCCTGGCATTGCGGATCCTCTCTCCATTGACACTCTTCCTGCAAACCGTCCGCGAAGAACTTGCCAGAAAGCTCTTGGAATTCCTGCACATTGGCCATCATCATCATCATCTTCGTCATCATCTCCATCATCATCTCCATCTCCATCATCATCATCATCATCATCATCATCATCATCTCCATCATCTCCATCATCATCATCTCCATCATCTCCATCATCTCCATCATCACTATCATCATCATCAGCATCATCATCATTATCATTCATCATCATCATCATCATCATCATCATCATCATCATCATCATCATCATCATCATCATCATCATCTCTTTCGCTTTTCTTACCTCGTTTGTAATGATGTTGACTACACTCTCGGCAGCTTCCTGCAGCGTGACATGACTTCATCCCTTCTCTCTCGCTCCTTCTCTCGTCACCTTGGCGGTTTGACTTCCCTGCCGTAGCCCCAGCGACGTCGCGACTTTCGTCCCCGCCACAACCCCAGGGTGACAAGCGTTCACCTTCACGCAAGTGCCTGCCATCAGCTCAGCTCAGCCTCGTCACGTCCCCCCATCACTTCTCAGCTTGTCTGCCCACCCCCATGTCAGCATCCGGAGAGCTTGTTTGGACTGCGAGGTGTCAAAGTCTTGACGCATCAAGTCCAGCTCGACTCCACCTGCATGTAAGCAGCATGCGAGCTGTAGGGCCGCGAAGAGAACTGAAGGTCCTCGTGCTGAGAAAGGCGTCACCATTTTCAACTTTAAACGTCCAGCTATCCGCCGACCTGTAGCCTGCCAGCATACTTGGACGCGACGTTCAGGATGTGACAGGGTTTGTCGTCTGATTCTGAGGAGGTTTGTGAGAGGCGGTAAAGGTGGCAACCTGCTGGATACCGAGCTGGGGGAGGAAGAGTTTGATCAGCCGATGGCAAGCCAGCACATTGACAGCAAACTGGAGGGCGATCAGGGTAGTCAGGCCCGAGCTTGTCCTCCTACCTGCGCTTCCATCCCTTCCTCCGTCTCCTGCCGCACCGCAGGCGCGCAGGCAGCGTTGTTGACAAGGAGATGGATCTTCCTGGCAACCTCGGGTCAGCGGCAGCTGGGTCCCAGCTGGGGAGACCCGAAGCGACTCCAGATCCTCTTGGCGAAGTCTTTGATGGAATCAGGTCGCTCCAGGTCCAGCTCTTCCACAAACACCTTCCCAGCTGTCAGTAACAGAGAAGCTTGTCGTCATCCCACCCGATGATTTCGAGTGAGTCCTCGGATTCGTCCAGCTGCTCTCCCAGCTCGGGTCAAGCTGGGCTCGTCATGTACAGACGCGCTGTGTCTCCTGCAGGCCATGACAACCGTCGCTCCCCTAGGCAGAATGAGGAGAAGAGGACAGGGAACGAGATGCTCGACCTGCGCGCGAGGAGCAGGCAAAGTTCCCATCCTATCCCTCCTCCTGCTCCTGTCACGATGCAGACCTTGCCTGTGAGCGCACCCGCCACGTCCTCCTCCAGCAGGCCTCCCTCTCCCGCGTCCTCTGGCAAGGACGAGTCCTCTGCTCGACTGTCGGCTTGTTCAGCTGCCCTCAAGAGTGCGTGCGCCGCTCGTCGAGCGTAGAAGCTGCAGGTTCACGTTGTTGTCAAGGATATGAGATAAGCAAGCACGCGAGTCACAATGAGAAATCATGATTGCCATCATCATCATCATCATCATCATCTCCATCATCATCATCATCATCATCATCATCATCATCTCCATCATCATCATCATCATCATCAGCAGCAGCAGCAGCAGCAGCAGCAGCATCACCATCACCCTTCTCTACCATCATCATGTGCATCAAAGGAGCTCAACAAGAACCTGCGAAAGGGTTGAGGGATCTTGGAGAGCGATGCTCCAGCTCGAGCCGCAAGTGCCAGCGCCTGTCTGGGCTCAGCTTGCGGGGAAAACAAAATTCCCGCCTCCTCCTCCTCCTCCTCCTCCTCCTCCTCCTCTGCCATCCACACCTCGAATTCCTCTTCCTCCACCCCTTCTTCCTGCGTCTCCTCTTCCTCCACCCCTTCTTCCTGCTTCTCCTCTTCCTCCACCCCTTCTTCCTGCGTCTCCTCTTCCTCCACCCCTTCTTCCTGCTTCTCCTCTTCCTCCACCCCTTCTTCCTGCTCCTCCTCTTCCTCCTCTTCCTCCTCCTCTCACTTGGTCAAGGACAGGCAAATCTTTGTTCCCGTACAAGTCCTTGGGGTTGTAGAGGTCTGGGCTAGACCCGCACCTGGTAGAACAAAGACAAGAACAGTCAAGTGAGGGAGCACATATGGAGCGCGGAAAGAGGAACGAAGTGGAGGAAAGAGGAGGAGGAAAGAGGGAGAAGCAGAGACGAGGAGACGGTGGGAAGGAGCGAAGGAAGTGCAGGAGGGAGGGAGCAGGGTTCAGAGCAGGGGAGGAGCTGGGAGACACTCACCAGAAGACATTGACGGCAACGCTGAAGGAGGGCATCCGAACATGATGGAACCAGAGTGGGGGTATGTAGACTGCATCTCCCGGCTTCAGCTCTCCCTCGAGCCGACTCTGCCATGTCTCAAAGAAGCGAGGATGAAGAGCGAGGTCAGGGTTGGAGATGCTCTCGACCCTCGACGACGACCCTTGAGTGTACAAGTTTTGATCCTCTACTGGCGGCCACAACGTGACGACTTTCGATCCAGTCACCTGCGGATAGCAGCCAGATGAGACGGAGGAGCAGGGGGAGAAGTAGAAGCAGGAGGAGCTGGAGCTGGAGGTGGAGGTGAAGGAGCAGGAGCAGCAGGAGCAGGAGCAGGAGCAGGAGCAGGAGCAGGAGCAGGAGCAGGAGCAGGAGCAGGAGCAAGATCTGGGTTGAGGATGTGGACCGAGCAGGCGCAGGAAGCAGGAGCACGAGCACGAGCTGGGTGGTAGGGGGAGTGCTGTCAGCAAGAGCTCACTTGCATGAGGATGTTGTCCATGACATCGTAGTGCGTCCAAAGTTCAGTATCCCCGAAGCAACACGGAGGACGGAGCTGTGGTACCTGGCAGGAGGATAGACTATCCCCGCAGGGAGCGTCAGGTCCTCTGCGAGCTCCGGGAAAGTCTCGTGGATGTGAGAGGCGCGTTTGGCAGCATCCTGCCCAGCAGCGACGCTGCGGAGGTAGAGCCTCTCCCCCTCCTCGACGACGGGAGGAAGGGGCTGGAGGTGCTGAAACTTGTCCGGGTTGCAGCGGCGAATGAAGTCGACAAAGGTCATCTCGCAGAAGTGAAAGTTCTTCTTGCTGTTGGGCAGGCGATGCCCGGCCAGGTCGACGGTCCTGTAAGGGCAGACGTGGACGCCTGCTGCGAGGACCTTGTCCGTGGTCCTCTCGTGAAGATACTCGGCGGTCCATCGGCCGACACATGCCCCCATGCTCAGTCCACGGATGATGAAGGGTTCTCCTTCAGCAAGAGCCTCCTGCTCAGACCTTGAGGAGAGTCGACTACGACTTCGCCTCCCTTACCTTGATCGCAACGTGGTCCTCTCCCGATACACTCGGGATGACTCCTGTTTCCTGCTCTCCTGACTTGTTCACTGTCCTCCAGCTCCCGTGGAACTTGTTGTAACCCCAGCCGTTGTTTGTTGAGCTTGTCCGAGACGCCTGTCTTGGCTCCTTCTTAGCGATGTCTTCTTTCTTCTTCTCCTTCCTCCCTTGCTCTTGGATGCTTCTGTACAGGACTTTCCTCACTGTGACTTGTTGTCCAGCGACTTCAAATTGCCTCACGCCGTTGGTTTCCTGGTGGGACCTTTCTGACGAGAACTTATCAGTGAGGGGGAAAACGCAATGAGCATCCCGAGGATCGACTCTTTGAGGTGAAGACACATCTATGACCACGCCCTTGTCAATGTCGCTGATGCTCATCAGCACAACCTTGACGTTCCTGTCAAGCCATCCTCTGCTCCTAAGGTGAAGGAACGTCAAACTCACGAGAAAGAACACACAAACGCGCAAGCTGCATGCTTGTCGACCCAAAGATATATCTTACCTCAGCTCATCTTTGACCTCCTTGGCATCAGCAGCAGATACATGTGCTACCATTCGCTCAACAGTCTCCATCTGCGTTCAGCTTGACGTCAGGATGTCGAAGACGTCTGAAGGAGACAAGTTTGTTGCTCAATAAGATTAACTGTCCCGGTCGAATAGACCGCTCATTTCTTTCTTTGTCAGGCATCGAGCTTGAAGAATCCATCTCAGGATCACTATGCCCCCCATGCTGACAAACGATTCCTTGACGACAAGACAAGAAGCAGAAGGACGAGGAGGCTGGAGCAGGAGGAGCAACAGGAGCAGTTGGTTACGGATCAGATGGTCGAGGATAGAGGAATCTGTCCCTCTACCTCGCCCCCTGTCAGCTGAGATCTCCTCCCTCCTGGCCTCAGTCTGTCTCTCGGGCACAAGTTCCCCTTACACAGTAATCTCCCTCTCTCCCTCTCTCCCTTCCCCTCACCTCTCCCTCTCCCTCTCTTTCCCCCCGCCCGGGTCTCCTCTAGACCCATCCCGCACTTCCATTGCGGCCGCTGATTTGACCAGTCACGTATCACGAAGTTTGACCACACTATCCAGGCTTCGCACTGCCGCGGGCCGCGCCCCCGGGGGTCCGGGCGGGGGCCGGCCGGGCCAGTCGGAGTCGGAGTCACAGTGCTTCTTTCAACTCAAAGGAGGCCGGGCTCCGGCCGTACGGTATCCGGCATTCAACCTAGAATGCCGAGTGTCTCCGAATCATTAAGTTACTGATGGGCCAGGCTCAGTGAACTTCGGAATGCCACACCCGGCGGCCGCCCCGGCGGCGGGCCGATCCGATCATCATCCCGGTGGCACGGGTGACGCGGCAGTGACCGGACCGCGTGCCTGGCACTTTGAGTAAAGGCGCTGCAGGGCGGCGGCCGGGGCCGCCGCTGGGCCCGCCCCCTTGGTTGCCAGCCAGTGGGCCCGCCCGGCGGAGCACGCCGGTGGCACTGATGCCATGATCGGATGATCCGCTTGTTTATTCTTAACTTTGAGTAAAGGTTTATTACTCTTAGAGAGAAGCGGCGGTGCCGCTGCCATAGCCGGCCAGTAGCCGGTGGCTTACACGATGAATCTCAAGGAGTTGCAGTGATTGCAACTTTCATCCATGACAGCCATGCTGACAGAAGTGCCCCAAACGTTGTGATATTGAAGACTCTTGACATGAAAACAAGTGGTTTCGTTTAGAATTCGTATTTCTACTACCGGGTCCTCTTCCTGCATTCGTTGGGTGCTGTGTGGGAGGTGAATGACTCCGAGAGCGGAAGATGCCAAGGGGAAGTGAGGGGGTAGAGCGTGGGAAAGTTGGGGGTGAGGGTGCTTTCTACAGGGGTTAAAAGACGCCTCGCAACCCTGTGAGTACCCCTTGTAATATATCATTTTGGGGGGTGGGGTGGGGTTGTTGTCACACCGTTCGGGTCAGCATTTTTGCAAGTGCACATATCTTGCAAGGTGGGGGTGGTTGAAGGAGCAAGCATTCTGGGAAGGAGGGGTAGGGTAGTTTTGCCAGCGGTGCCCTAGCTTTAATTCAGTGGGTAGTCAGCTGACGCCACCCCTTTTTGACTCCTTGCCCACCCCCCAAATTTAGCATTACAGAACCCCTGGCATATCAAGAGTCCGGCGAGGTGGTGGGGTGGGGTGCACGTCCTCTCACCCCCTTTTTACCCCTTGTATCCTCGATCATGGGGTTGTTGCCGCAGGGGTGGTCAGCTCCAAAGGTTTAAAATGACCCCCAAAAAAACCCCGTCCTGGGACCCACCCCTACTATCTACACCTGCGTCAGGTCAAAACAGGAGGTGGTAATGGGGAAAGATCCTTGAAAACTACGTCACGGGGATTACTATAACTAATATTATAATTAACAATAATTTAGTTCTGTGTTGGTAGGGGTACTCAAGTGGTTCGGTGGGGGTCCTGGGGCTTAACAGCCAAGGGCACACGGGTAGGGGTAATAAAAGCGGGTTGACTCAGGGTACGGTAAGGCACCAAAGGGTAGGGTATAAGAGCTCCTGGGTCTCCGCTAAGGTACATGGAGGTGGGGTGGGTTGTTAAAGGGGTAGGTACGGAGTGAGGAGGGAGTGAAGGAGAGGAAGAACCGAGGGAATAATGAGAGAAGATGGGGGGTGGGGGTTAAGATGGATTCTCTGAGAGGGGGTGGGGTATAATGAAGGTTTAGTGGACAGGGGTCGACAGAATAGTTTGGATATATATTGGGGTGGGTGATGAACAAATGGGGGTAGGTTTGTGTGTAAAGTTGTGAAATAGGGGTATAGAGTGAGAAATTGGAGGGTGGGGTCAAAACTTCCAGGGGTACAAGAATCCTAGTATGGTGACTAGAGCATTAGGGTGGGGTAGTTTCGGGAATGTGGAAAGGGGGTGGGGTGAGCGATGGCGGGGGTAAAAAAGAAGGGGGCACGAAATGGGAGGATGGAGCCGAGATGCGACGGGGAGCAGAAGGGGATGAATGGAGGCGAGCGGCGATGGTCAGGCGAGCGGATCTTGTCGTCACTGCAGTGCAGTGTGGATTAGTAGGAAGTGATAGCGATGTCGAACTTTCTGTTGAGAAGAGGAGAGAAGAGTTTTAACTGTCAGCATGTGCCAGACGTAGTGTGCGCGCATGCGGGCTGGGATCGTGAGTGTTGATAGGGAATCACGACTCTGACAGCTTTGAGTCAGTCTAGCAACAAGTTCATGACGATGTTGCTATGAAATGTGATGCGATATCGCTCTTCTGACTTCGTTTCCACTATCAGATTGCTAGATCGGCGCGATGCCCATAACAACGCCTGCGTCTCGCTCCCTTGCCGATTGACGAGACACGGCCTTGCCGCCACCATGACATGAAAAGACCCAATGACGTGGCATGATGTCCGATAACGCGTCAAAGAAGACTGCTGGAATGGGGTCCCGCGTCCCGTTTCAGTCCGGGACAGGATCCCACGTGCCTTCAGTGGCACCAGGTCGTTGCCCCGTTGAGCATGCTCGCGTTCTTACTCCCCTCTCTCAGCTGCTGCTCCTGTCATCATACATGAGACAAGACCCGCGGGCCAAGAAAGAAGCAGGTCAGCCAGCACAGCCCCGTGTGCCTGCCTGAAGGTGCCTGACGCTCCAGGGGTTTCAGGTACCAGGTGTTTGTCAAGGCCATGACATCGAAGCTCAAGGAGAAAGACCCGAAGCTGAACCAGACCGAGCGCATGAAGCAGATCGGAGAGATGTGGAGAACGATGCCGTTGAGCGAACGAGAGATGGTCAGCAGCTACACGGGAGGGAGGGAGGGAGGGGGGTTAAACTTGAGAGCAGATTATCAAAGCTCAGGTCGAGGAAGATGAGATTCAGCAGAAGAAGTCAGGAAAGACGGGAGGACCCAAGGTCCCTTGCTTGCCTCCCCCATGAGGGAGACGCATGATGATCGTGGCAGGTTGTTCTCAACGGCCTCAAGAGAGGGGTGAACGACCGAAGGATATCAGGTTTGTCGCAGGACTTGACAACACGCTAGCTTCTGACTACATGACTTTCAAGCTTTCAACTTCTTCGTGAGAGACGCGGTTGCTCGCCTTAGAGTTAACGTTAGTCTCTC